ATAGACCATTAAGAATCTTCTGAGGAGGAATCATAAATGGTAAATGTCCTGTACTTATAAAGCGCCTTTATTCAAGTCAGGTGACTTGACCAAAGCGCTTTATTCTACATTCATTCACTCACACACTGAGTCATAGTGGTCTCCTGAGAGAACCTGGTGAGTAAAGACGCTGCAGAGGGAAACCTGCTGGTATACATGATGAACACCTGGACCAGAGTCCCTGTCTTGGTTTTGTGGTACCTGAACCAGAGCCAGCAGCAGCTTTTCAAAGTTCCCAGATGTGTCTCCTGAGATGTCCTTCTCCAGCTCCTTCTTAAACACTGCAGAGGAGAAAGTTCAATATAAACCAACTATTAAAGATGTTAGAACATCAGAGGCTGAGGACAGATGGTCCATCACATCCTTTAGCAAAGGTCTGATTGAAACCTAAATGATCTGATTATTTCTCATTCTAAAGATTTTTGGAGGAATCAGAAACATATTTAGCTGCTTCTCATTTTCCCTCTAAAAACTTAAAAAGTCTCCATGACTCACTCTCTCTGTAAACCTTCTTGATCTCTGTCAGTTCTTCGTTGTTCCTGGAGCAGACGAGCTCGATCAGGGCCTCCTCGTCGGTTCCCAGACCCTGCAGAGCCAGAAACCTCCATTAAAACACCTTGAGGAGAACCTGCTCAGGCTGCTGGTGGGAACCTTTCATTCTGCTGGTTTCCATCCAGTTTGCAGCGCCTGGCTTCATGCAGATGAACGTTTCATTCCTGGAAGGATCCTTGAACCGCGATCATTGCAAGGTTCCTACTGCTGGCTTTACAAGAAGCCCAGTTTCATTATTAGTGGATGATACAGTTTGACTTGATCTTTCTGATGCCCAGAGATTCTAAATCACTTTAACACGAACAGCGCCGCCTGCTGGTCTGTCCAGATGCAGGACTCTGACCTTCATGGAGGATTTTAGCTCCGATGCATCAAACTGGGCGGTGCTCTTCATCAGACCCAACATCAGAGATTCCAGAGAGCCGGAGAGCGCCCCCTTCAGGGCAGCATTCAGATCCTGAAAGACATCAGCAGACGCAGTTATGTTCAGTTCTTTACACAGCCTACAGGGGGCGCCTATTCACAGAATATTTCACGCAGTTATGAGATTTAAAGCTATAGTGGAGGATGTTCTTTTTCTGGGTGG